TTTACACATAATGGTGACTGACATAACAGTGTACTATGTTCTTTTACATGTAATAGCGACTGTGACAACACTACTATGTACTTTTACATGTAATGGCGACTGTGACATAACAGTGTACTATGTTCTTTTACATGTAATGGTGACTGATATAACAGTGTACTATGTTCTTTTACATGTAATAGTGACTGACATAACACTGTACTATGTTCTTTTACATGTAATGGTGACTGTGACATAACACAGTGTACTGTGTACTATGTACTTTTAATGTAATGGTGATTGACATGAAACATTGTGTACCATGTATTTGTACAATTTAAGGGAAAGAGTGCCAAAATTTCGTAAATAAAAATATTGCCAGTGTTTTGTATTTAAGACTTCTTAACAATCATGTTGCCACAGCTCCTTGGACATAATGTACAGTGCCCCTCCGTGGTAATTGCATAAAATTCTCTTGTTTTTATTATTTTTGTTTTATCTTTTTTTGCTACCCTTATCCCCAGTTTTACTCTGTTTAATTCTTGCATGTCATGAAGACTGGAATATTCAACTGGTGATAACATAACAGACAAGCAAGCTTTATTGATGCTTAGTGTAATGTTTGAAACTACTGTAATTTAAAATAAAATGTTGTCAAAATTATTATGCATAGTGTGTGTGTGTAAAATGACATTATTTGTTCTCTCATTACGAGATAAACACTAATATTTGAAGTCAGCATCTATTTATATCTAGTTGAAATTCAACTTGAACCAGGTTTTCGTTTATTTTTTAATTTGTTAGGTTTTAATATTTTTATAAGCATATGCATAACCAATTATCAAAAGCCAACCGATGTATTATGATCAATTCTATTCCCTACTACTGTAATAGAGGATGCTTTTCCAAACGGCGCCCTCTCAGTCTTATATTAGCTACATTACTCTAAGAACACTATTGTTTACATTTTAATTGACAACTTGTAAGTTGTACATTTCTTTCGTAGACTAATTATTTCGTGATTTTCTTTTATTTAATTTATTGGTGAAGAAAAATGTGACATTTTAGAATAAATTAAAACACCTATGAAGTTTCAAAAAAAAAGCTTGTCGTATGTGTGTTTTATGGTACAGTTGTGTTTGGTGTGGGTTCCATGTGAAATATACACTGCATCTTGTTTGGTATGGGTCCCATGTGAAATATACACTACATCTTGTTTGGTATGGGTCCCATGTGAAATGTACACTACATCTTGTTTGGTGTGGGTCCCATGTGAAATATACACTCCATCTTGTTTGGTGTGGGTCCCATGTGAAATATACACTACATATGCAACATTTGCATATGGGGTGTGGAAATGTCGCTTTTGATTTCAGGGACAAATCAAAATAAACTGCAATAAACATATGTAATAATAAAGTGTATGGAAGTTTGTCATCTAATTCATCAGTATGGAATCTTAATGTGATTTACAAATGTCCTGTGTGAAAATATCGTGTAAAAATTGAAAAAGTAGTAGTCAAAATCTGATAAAAAAAATGTTGACTCTTTCTACTTTTGTTTTGATTCTACTGATTACTGGTGATACACATTCAAAGGTTACTGGTCTCAGAGGGAATATGAATTGTTGTATGTGTTCAATGAAGTAATTTATTTATCTTGAAATCAATATCATTGGTAATGTATCTCCCAAAGCCCATGGGAATACTAGACTTAGTTTCAATCAACTCACACACAGTCTAATACAATTTTTTTAAACATACCAATAAAATAAACCAAACTTTTGATCAAGATGTAAAGCTGATAGAAAATTATGTCTGTTTAGTCCAAAGTTATCAAACAAAAATAATGCACTTCCTATCTGTTTAAATTTACATTCTATGCTCACAATGTTTCAGTATGTAATGTTTTTTTGATGTGTTGCACCCAGTTGAATACAAGTTGAATTACATTTGTGATTCAAGACCTTGTATAATTCTCTGCAAATATTTTTGCTATATTTGAATTAATACATTTTTTTTTTAAAAAGTAAAAGTACACCAAATGCCATTCACACTGTAGTCAAGACCTGATTTCTTTTAGAGAAACATAAAAATATGAGCCATAAATTATACCTTCTCGCAAGCAGATATGCTGCCCCAATATGTGCCTGAATTATACCCCTTCACACAAAGATAAGCTAATTTTATGTCCCCAATATGTTCTCAATAATTCTCCCAAATATGAATTATACCCCCTACCAGAACAGTTATTATGCTCCCAATATGTGATATGAATTATACCCCTCACATATATTCTGTTCCCATTATGTTTTATGAATGACTAAAAAAACAATGCTTACAACTGGAAATGAAGTCTCTCAAAACAATTAAACAAACTTGGCATAATCCAGAACTTTTAAAAGACTGCTAATCCGACTGCTGTTTCA